GGGAAATAACAGATAGCATGTTTTCCTCAGACTATTTTACTAGCATTCATGCTTATGTAAGATGGAGAAAAAGGTTAATAGTAAGTCCCTTACAATTTATATTAAAATTTGTAGATATAGGCCCTCCCTGGTGGTGCAGCGGGTTAAAGCACTGCACTGAGAAGCTAAAGCCACTTCCACATGAGTTCGATTCCCACCTGCCCCGGAGGTGACCACATGGCGTGGCAGAACTCTCCTGACCCGCCCGCTGCTCCCCTCAGCAGTGTACTTCATCGATCTGCCTGTTCTGCTCCCCACTCTGTCTCTGGGGAAGCCTCTCACTGCCCCTGAGCCTCTGGCCTGTACCCCAGTTCTGTATGTACAAATAAATCTTTATAAAAAAAATTGTAGATATAGATGAATAACTATATCTATATCTATACCACCTGTGCTCATGCTGATGAGGGTCAAATGAAATATATTTGGGGCTAAAAGCATGATTTCTGATGTTTATTGCAATGACTAGATTTTGAGATATAATGAGAAAACATGGAGGATTTAGCTTATAAACATCCTTGCTGTTTTATATTTCTTATGTGAAGAAACAGAATAACAATTACAGATTTTTAAAATAAAATTTCATTTTATTAAATTTTTAGGGGAAACCTAAACTTATGTAGAAATGCTATATTTAATAAAAGTATCTTTACTGTAAGACACCAGTTCTACTAGTATCTTTACTTAGTGTATTTGAAGACAAAACCACTGACACAGGGATAAAATTTAAAAACAGGAACACTTACAGAGAGAAATATAACTAATATGTTTCCAGATGGATAATGAGGAAATCTTGACTTTTCATTTAATGTCAGCAATGTTATCAGTTCCATACATAAATCTTGCTGCTGGCATCCCCATCCTGCATGGTACTCTGCGTGTTTTTTTCTGTTGTCTCTTGATAAATATTTACTCCAAATCAATGGATGTGTATTGTTTGGAGGTAAAAATTAAAGTCAAATAAATACCCATCTCAAAATCACACACTCAAAGTGGGTAATATTAAAATTAACTTAATTTTAGAAGTTTCTTCATGAAAAGATATATAGACTGATAAAATAATTCTATCTAAGGATACTTTTAATAATATGTACAAGACACAAATGAAAATTCTGAAGCTACAAGGAACATACAGGAAGATATATATGGAGAAAGAAAATTGTTCTAGTATGACAAGTTTGGAAAAATACAAAGGCAAAATAGACTGGAAAAATTTACTCTAAATTTATTTTTTTCCTTTTTCTTAAAATATTTTTATTAAAATAACATTGGTTTAACATTATATATGGTTCAGAGTACAGGATTATAATTTAAAATCAGTATATACTAATTTAAATACATCACTAAAAATCTATGAGTAACTGCTTTTAGTCAATTAATACATTTTTCTTCACTGCCTTCCCTTCTGGTAATAATATTTATGTCCTACCTAGGGATAGCCAAAGACATTTCAAAAGCAAAGAGTGATATAAAGGGAATAGCTTTGACCTTATACTCAAAAATATGATAAGGTTTCAATTATTAAATAGCAGATACTAGCTTGAGGATAGAAAAGCCAAAGGATAGGATGGAAATCCAATGAACAGAATCATAAATGACAACTTATTGTATGTAAAACAAAAATACACAGGAGTAGAATGTCAATGGATATTATACAAAAATGACATATTCTTTGGAAAAAATAGGTTCTTGTCTATTATATCATAAAGTAGGAGAACATGAAAATTTAAAAATGTAAACTTTTAAACTTTTGAGGCATGATTCCAAAGACAAATAGAATAAAAACATTTCACATCACACAAGTTAAAAAATATCAGTATGAAAAAAGGACATTTGAACAAAGGTAAAAGTGAATGTTAAACTTGAATATATTTGCAAAGTGTATTTTATAGGAAAGGGTTAATACCCCTTGATGATTTCCTCTAGTCCTAAGATTTTAAGTATCATCTAAATGTTAACAACCCTCAAATTTATATTTCAGTTTGACCTTTCTTTCTAAATTCCATATTCTTATATGCAATTGTTTATTTGATGTGTTCACTTGTATGTATCTTAGACAAATATAAAATGCCCTAAATCGCAACTCTTAATTTTCTGAACCTCATAAACTTGCTTCATCTGAAGTCTTCTCCACCTCTTTTAAGGTGACTTGGTTCTTTTAGTTGCTAAGCCAAAAGTTTTGGTTACTCCTGACATTTCTTTCTCTCATATCTCAAAGCCCAGGTCAGGGAAGCCTGATGGTTCTATCTTCAAAACAGAACATATCCTACCACTCCTCACCATTTCCACTGGTGCCAATCTAGTCTGAGCCACCACCATATTTCCCCCAGGTTATTGCAGTAGTCTTCTGTTTCAATACCTGCCAACAAAGCAGTCTAAGATCTTTAAAAAACATGACTGAGTAAATGATCTTTCTGCTCAGATCATATTATGATTTCTAGTTATGGTCATAGTCTAATTCCTCATAAATAATCTACAAGGTTCAATGTGAGTGGTCTGCTTTTTTCCCTTTATCATTACAATCTCATAACTATCTATTTTCCTTATTTTTCCTTAATACCAAGTAACTGTGCTCCTTGCCATTCCTTAAATATACCAGGCAAATTCCTGTGTTGGAGATTTTGTACTAGTTCCACTACCTGAAAAATGACTGTGTCCCAGGTATCCACATAGTTAACCCTGTGAAAGCCTTCACATTTATTAGTGAGGCCTACTCTGATGCTACTTAAAATAGGAACCTCTCCATCACTCTCCTCTGTCCCTCAATTTTCACATAGCGTGGTACTTAGTATAACCTAAAATTCTTTTAAATTTATTTATTATGTTTAGTATCTGTGTCCCTCTACTACAATGTAAGTGTCATGAGGGTGCAGAAGTTTGTTTAATACTTGGATGTATCCACAGCATCAGGTAAGTACCTGGCACACAGAAGTTCAATAAATATTGTTGAATGAATGAATAAATATCTGTATCTTAAACTCCTATAAATAAACAACAATCTTGCAAAAGTTGACCATACTAGAAAAATGTTAACAAAAATGGCTAGGTCATTTGCAGAAGAGTATTAAATAGATGAAAAATATATTCAAACACACTTAAATAAAGTAAAACAGTGGAAAGGAAATAACATTTATGACTCTTTAACTGGCAAGGAATTAATAACTAGTAAAGACAAAAGATCCATAGATTTAAAAGGATTTAAAGATACAGCAACCTATGACAAGTTATAAATCTTATTTAAATATTCATTTAAATAATTATAAGAAAAAGTCATCTAAACATAATTAGATATTTGATATTAGGTATGACAAAGGCACTGCAGCTTTTTTTTTTTTTTTTAAGATACTCATATATAGGTTGAAGATATGATACATTGTTTGAAATGTCTTCAAAATAAATTGACGTAGATACAGTTGGGTTGGAAGAGAATAAGAGTGCTTGAGACTAGCCACGATATATTTTCAATAAAAAGTCCATATTTATAAACTATAACAAGATTTCTGTAGTCTTTCTCTTTGAAAGTGTTATGAAAGGGAATTAAGATCCAAATGATCCAAATAAATGTTTTTACTTTGTTGACAAGTATAGTTTGTACAATTACATTGCAAGTGAAATATGGATTTTTAAATAAGAATGATCAGTATTTGGCAAGTTGTTAGTACTTTTCAATTTTGGTGTTAAATTCCATTTCCTCTCCAAAATCTTGAATACATTATAAAGAATGAATCAAGGCCTAAAACGTATGAGAATCTGAAAACAAATGAGTTTTTTATCATCATAGATAAAAATTAGGTAATTTCTATGACAATGCTTTATTATATATAATCTGCAACTTCCTAGTCATTTTAAATTAAAAATGTAATATAGATAAAATTAATAAATAGAAACCTAGGTAATTTAAACAAACCCCTCTGTTCAAGGCAACTAAAATAACTAGAGAAAATATAAGAAACATCTGCTTGAAGGCATAGGAAAGCTAACATGATTATGAAGAATTATAAGTGAGTATCAGGGAAACTGGAGGCTCATGAAGGTAATCTCTGCCTTTGTAGCCATTCCCCTTGAGGTTCATTGTTGATGCTAGAGGAGGCAGCCAACAAGTCTGACAAGTTATTGAGGGCTTTGTGCAACTGGGGTGGGGTGCTGAAATTAGATTTTAGAACCCACTAAAGGGAATCCTTTGTAAGCCTCTCTGCCAAGTTGGGATCCTGAATAGCTAGCTATACTTTAAAGGATAATCAGGAGTAAGAAGACTCTTGCAGAAACTGCAGGTCACTTTCAAATTATCTGTCTCTGAAACTGGAATGATGTGATTTTGGATTGCTATAGCTATCACAAGACTGAAGGAAACAAAAATAATCCTAACAAAGGAAGATACCACTGTTAGAAACGTTGAAGTATTTCTATAAATAATTCTGCAAATACCATCTGATGAAAAAAAAGTTAGCATATATTCATGGAAATGAGACCAGGTCAATGAAAACCAGCAGAATAGCAGAATAAGAAAACAGAACAAACCCAGAGATTAAAAATCAAATGTTATCTTGTGATTTAAATGTCCCAAGCACACTTCAATGAGAGAAGAGATACCAAGTACTTATTTAAAAAAAGAGTAAATTCTATGTTGCTAGATGATATTACTATATTATTAGGCATTGTAGAGTTATAGTTATTAATTATATAGTGCTTAACCTCGGTTAAACCTAAAGAAGGAAGGCAGTAACATTATTTCATCAAAAATGGGTACGAAAACTTCAAGGTTTTACTTCCAGATTCCTTTAGAACACCAATACATACTTGCTCTTAGATCTTGGTAAATACACGTTAATTTAAATGATTACATAACACATTTCCCCACTAATTCTCAAAGTAGCCAAGCCTATTAAAAAATCAACTGGTCTGTGGATGCTGTATAAAGGAGGGTGCTCTATAGACTTACTTAATAAAATAAAAGCTGTACTTACAAGGTGTAGACTGAAGTGGTACAAGCTGGGGAAAAGTCATAAGAATAGAAATGTCTGGTAAATTGTTTTGCTTGGAATGTTCAGTGGTTTGGTCAGCCCAAACTACCACTTTTTTCCTCTCTACCAAATGTTCAATTTCTTTGAAGTCAGATTCAAAGGCAGCATTTAACAGGCCAGCTTCTTTTACTGTGCAATATTGTTTTCTTAGGGCTGGAAGCAAAGCATTCAATACTCTGTATAGAGAAGGTAAGAAGAAAAGAAGATAGTGAATTATAAATAAATTATTAGATATCTAAGTAACATTAAAAGTAATGCCAAATCATTAAAATGATTCTCTCTATATATGTTCCTTTCTTTAGAAAATTTTAATCAAATAGTTCAAAATATCCCTACTATATTAAGTATGTAAGTGGAAAGAACCTTGGATTGGAATTAAAATCACCAGGCTGTTGTAGTCTGAATTGCTTTTCACCTGCATCTCCATTATTTTGGAACAAACATAAGCTGAATTGTCCCCTTTTTCAATGTTAGATACAACCAGATGATTGCTGGTCAAAATAGATTATTTTGAGAGCTAAGTGAGTTAAATACATATGAAAACTTATTTGCAAAGTGTGATGTGATGTACAAACCAAAGATATTGTTATTAATTACCATGGTATAGAAATGAAAAATTAATACAATCAAACAATGAGGCTAATTTTAGGTATAGAACATAAAAAACTAGTAACAAATGAACAAAGTTGAACTTTTGTTCAAGTTTACTCTTCATGAACTAAAGCAATGGTTTTTAATTGCAAGGAAAATGTGGAAAAGGATGATGGGTATGGGGAATCATTGAAAATCTTAGTTGTGATTCAAAACTTTTCCCTATTTCTGTCAATCAGGGAAGCACAGAATATATCTTTCAATGTATTAAGACTTCATTGAAGAAATGCCACAGCTAAACACTTATAATTTTGAAATGATTCAGTCAGGTATAGTGAAGTAGTTAATATTTGATATTCCAGTTGATTCAAAACATCTAGAACAGAGTCATTCAGAGTATGATTAGAGCAGTTGGAAGAACAGACATTAATTTTAACACACAAGAATATAAATGCTTTGTTGCCTGGGAGTCTTAAGTAGATAGTAGCATAAATTGTCTTTTTTCTTTTTTGATGGGGATGGGAATGAGTTGGAAGTACTCCCTTTAAACTAGTAGGTAACCACAATTCTTATCTTTAGGGAAATGTCATTAATTAGAAAGTAAAAAATAATGATTTACTGAATATCTGTATTAATCGCGTTAAATGGCCTGCTACTCTTGGAGAGACTCCAGTCTTTCTCAAAACAGGTAAGAGTGGCTACTATGCTTAACTTGTTTTTGCAATCATGGTTTATGCTGAACAGATGATTGCCTTCTGGAACGTCTGAAATTTTCATATATCCTAGAAGGTGCCCATGCAATCAACTCCTAGTAAAAACTCAAGCAGCGAGTGTCTAATGAGTTTCCAGAGGAGACATTTGATATATGTAGTTACAACATTTTGCTGGAAGACTTAAGTGCACTCCTGTGCAAATCCACTGGAGGACATGACAGTTTGCATTTTGTCTCCTTGTGGCTCCTGCCCCATGTCATGTACCTTTTCCTTTTGCTGATTTTGTTTCATGTCTTTTTTCTGTAATAAATTATAATACAACTGTATGATGGGGTCATGTCATTCCTCTTAGTAAATCATCCAACCTGAAGGTGTACAACACATGTTGTTGATTTACTTTTGCATTTGAATCTCTCAAATGCTTTTTTTTTTTATTTTTTAACTTAAAAAAATTTTTTTTTAAAGATTTATTTATTTATACATACAGAACTGGGATACAGGCCAGAGGCTCAGGGGTGGCAAGAGGCTTCACCAGAGACAGAGTGGGGAACAGAACAGGCAGATCTATGAAGTACACTGCTGAGGAGAGCAGTGGGTGGGCCAGGAGAGGTCTGCCACACCATGTGGTCACCTCCGGGGCAGGGGGGAATCGAACTCATGTGGAAGTGGCTTTAGCTTCTCAGTGCAGTGCTTTAACCTGCTGCGCCACCAGGGAGGACCAAGAATCTCTCAAATTCTTTATAGAGACAATATAATTTAACATATAAGAAAACTAAAGTTTAATGAAGTTAACATAATTTATGAAAGGTTATAGTGCTAATATGCTGGAATTCAAGATCAACTACAAAACACACTATTCTACCATGCCATATGACTTCTGCATTTTTTTAAGTTAGTCAGAAATCTCTTTTCCATTTTGAGGCACAAATTTTATCTTAAATGTATTAATCTATGTCTAATGTAACAAAAATAGTTTGGCTGAAATAAATCAAAGTCTCTTTGATAATTTTAGTTTTTGCAGGTGATTTTAATACTGGTAAATGAATATTTGGTACCAGGTATAAAAGTATGAGAAGGTTAGTTTGTCTTCTACGCAGTCAACCTAAGTTTTTATACCTTAGAGTTTTATACCTTTATAAACACTAGTAGAATTCTAATTAAATTTTAAAGAAGCAAAAGTCATTATCAAAGTATATTGCTAATGTTTCACTGTAATAGAGTGACACCCAAGGAGTTGATGAATGTATATCCAAGGTAACAAAAACTAAGACTAAGTTATACTTTTCAAAAATATTAAATTTTAAAAACCAAAATGTTATAACTGAGCTGTTAAAGCATTCTATAGCATTACCTAAAAATTGGGACACAAAGCTAAAAAACATACAACTGTAACAAATTTTATTTTAATGACAATGTAAAATTTTCTAGAAATATAAATGATTACAAACTGCTTACTTAAAAGTCCAGTTGTACTAATGGTAATTCTTTGTAAGAGGAAATGGCTGGTTAGAGCATAGCGGTAGAAGAGACTCCTTTATTCCGTGTAGACATTTTCAAATTTTGTATCACTAGGCATATGTTACATAAGAATAATACAATTTTAAAGAAAAGTGCTTTCAAAATCACAAAGCCCTGTAAGTGTTAGTTGAAACAGAGGAACCACATCTTTTTTCACTTCTCCATGTTTTCCAACTCTCCAAGCTTAAGAAAATGATGTCACACTTATACAACTCAATTTTCTGGCAGTGATTCAAGTTCCTTACATCTACAGTATAAAATTTGCACTGGACTGTGGTGATGACACATGGGTGAACTGGTGGTGGGAAGTCCATCGGGATTACAAATGAGATGAAAAAAATGAAGAATGATGTAAAAAAATAAAAATAAAAATAATTTGGCAAAAAAAATTTGTAGAACAGGTAAATTCATGTACTTACGCCTCTGTCTGCCTGTGTTGCTGTTCCTGAAGACAAACTAGATCTATCATATGTTTAATTTGAGCTTTCAGGTCTTTGTTCTGGAGGTGCAAATGGTGACAGTGAAGATCTTTACTGAGTTCCTGGGGAAAACAATTAAAACTACACTTCAGATTCCTTTAAAGTTGTTAAAATCAAAACAACCTTAATAGAAATTATTTTAAACAGCGCACACTGTTTTGATTTTTTTTAATATATAAAATGTTTAGAAACAATTTTAAACAAGCAAGAATTTAAGTACAAGTAGTTCACTGTATAATTAAAAAGTAAGATATGGTTCAATTTCCCTCAGAAATTGAAGAGTATGGCCAGCTTGGATACCTCTTGTCCCTGATAAACTCAGTTATATCACTCATAAGTAACAATTTCATGTCTTTATTTTATTTAGTTTCTCTGTCTGAACCAGGCCCAGCACCAGAAAAGGGGCTGTGTCAAAATAGTTTATTATTTATTTATTTAAAGATTTATTTTTATTTGTGCATATAAAAATTTTGTGAAACAATTCTGAAAGCAGGGAAGCTGTGCCTGGAACTTCCTCCTAGGGATTACTTTCATTTAAATTCTTTAATAGTCCTTCCCAACCTGCAGTTGACCTTTGATTTGCAAATAGCTGAAGCTGTCTTTTCTCTCTTTTTTTAAAAATATTTCCTATGTCAGTGATAGACACTATGAGAGGCCAACAATGGCCCTCTATATGTCTGAGATATAGCAAAGCTAGAGGTTATTTACATAATTTATGGATTGCAAGTCAAGAAATATACCAAGTATTTTTGATAAAAGTTCTTTTAAGGGGTGATATGAGTCAGGAGATTTTAGAGATGGTCTCAGTGATGACATAAATATTATATCTTTAAATTAAAAAATATGACTTATAGAGTGAAAATACCTAAAATTTATGAACATAACTAGGTTATCTCTTTAGTCTTTACCACTTAGAAAATAGATTACAATAATGTGAAAATATTTTTCAAATATTCCATCTTTACACCTTGAAATAATCCCTGAAGATATTTCTTTGATAACCTTATCCTGTTACCTTTTTAAACCACTCCTCTTTCAAAGAGACAAGTCTTGCTTATATTATTGTATTAATCAATAAATAACGGCCTGTGACTTTTAGAAAACCAAGTTTACAGTTTAGGTATTTTCTTGTCTTGCAAAGTAATGACTATGAATGAAAGATCATCCTGAGAACGACAAGTAGGTTAGTTAAGCTGGAAGTGAAGAATATAATGAGGTGATATATAAAATGTGGGGAACTATTTGGGCGCTGTGTTAGATCTAGAAAAATCGTAATAAAGCGTCTACGAGGGAGAAGGCACTGAAGAGTCATATGAACAGGATTACCTTTTTGGAAAACTTCTTTTAATCACAGTGAAGAAAATGAATTACAGTGGAAAATGAATTACAGTGGAAACAGACCAAAGACAGCAGTCTAATGATGAAGGATGGGAGTCTGAATTGGGGTGGTGGCAATGGGAGACAGAGAGAAGTGGGTGGATAGCTCTGAGAGGTTAACAAGTAAGTAAGGAATGCTAGGGAAAAAAAGCATTAATTGAAAGTAACAGTACTGTGTTTGTTCCACTGTTGTATACTACTTATCAGTCCATTTACAAAGTTACTACTCAGCTTTCTTATGTAGGAAAGCTAATAACTAGCTATTTCAATTATTAGCGAAAAATATCTACAAAAATGAAAACTGAGGTAGGATAGGAGGAGCTGTTTCCCCTTCCCCAAATTATTTATAATAAAATACAATGAAAAACATGAACTTCGAAGAATAATTCCAAGTCCATATTTAGTTGTGCAAAAGTTCTACATAAGAGTTGTAGAAAGTAACATACCTCTGACATATCTTAAGAGGTATGAGCTCACACCTCTAGATCATATTCAGTGTTGTAGGCCACTGTTGTCTCAATTAAAAAAATAATCAAGGGCTATAGAAGGCACATTGCTACAAATTCAGATTAGGCTATACTAAAAATATATGTTTACTGAAATAAATAATATTAACTTTATAAATGCTATTAAAAAGGCAAAACCAGGCCCTCTCTGGTGGCACAGTGGGTTAAAGCACAGCACTAAGAAGCTAAAGCCACTTCAGCATGAGTTTGATCCCTGCCCCGGAGGTGATCCATATGGCGAGGCAGACCTCTCCTGACCTGCCCACTGCTTCCTTCAGTAGCATACCAAATTACAGTATAAGTATAATATATGTTAAGTAAAACTATGAGAGGGAACATACTCCAGTGTTAACATTTTGGAATGATACATATATGCATTTAAAACTATTTTTATGAAGGTATTTAATGCCACCAAACCATAAATGTTAGAACGATCAATTTTATGTTGTATTTTATCATACAAACATCTGTTTGGCCCCTTCATGACAATGCTTTTGTCTACCAGAAGAGTTAAATATTCTTTTAGATCACCACAATGAAATAGCAATATAGAAAACTTAAGAATCTTTAATACTTGTAATTTTATGTTCTTTACAAATTAACCTTGAGAAAAAAGAGCTTTAGGTACACATGGTCTTCAATAAATAAGTGAACTAAATGCCTTATAATGAATCAAAAAGTATAATAAATATTCACAACCTTTTCAAGAAAATGATCTCTTAGTCACTGAATGAGGAACACTTGGCCAGGGCTATCAGCTGAATACTTTTTATTCAGAACATGGCTTGTGTAATCTGACTGCTGCAGTGTTCGGATGGGGGTTGTTGCATTCTACAGTGTATTTCTACAGATTGAGATGTCTCAAATTTAGCATGGAATTTCAAAAATTACCTTTCTAAGCCAAGATGACTCCTATTACAGTTTATCGATCATTTTCTGTTATTTGCTTACTCCTTTGAAACCATGTAAATATGTCTATTATATTGTCTTAAGACAAATATGGCCTTTAAAAAGATTTTATTTCTCATCTAGAATAGTTACTAATATTATGTAATTAAAAAAATCTCTCTCTACACATATAAATAAATGCAATATTATCTAGTTATGATTTCCCTCAAAACTAAACTACAATCTAGGAAAAACTGTACATAGCTTCAACCCGATTCTCAAGGACATCTAAGACCCCAGATGTCAGAATCACTGTGCTGGGGTAAAAAAAGAGAAAATATTTTATAATGAAGCTAACACTGTTGCATTCCTTCTGTATACACTGTTCCTTGGCTATTGATGGTTATATTATCATTGCTTAAAATATTAAATGATTGGCTCTCCCTGGTGGCGCAGCGGGTTAAAGCACAGCACTAAGAAGCTAAAGCCACTTTCACATGAGTTCGATCCCCGCCTGCCCCGGAGGTAACCACGTGGCAAGGCAGAACTCTCCTGACCCGCCCGCTGCTCCCCTCAGCAGTGTACTTCCTCGATCTGCCTGTTCTGCTCCCCGCTGTGTCTGGTGAATCCTCTCACCCTCCGCATCTCTGGCTTGTACCCCATTTCAGTATGAATAAATAAATCTTTAAAAAAACAAAAATTAAATGATCATCAATATCTAAGCAGTGTTAGGCCTTTGTATAATAAAGCTTTCATTTAAATTTATAATACCTTAATATATTTTAAAGATGAGAAATTAAGACAATGAAGTAAATTATCTTACCAAAAGTCAGTTATGGTTAGTATTCAACGCTACATCAAATACTAGAATTATGACCTACTCCCATCCCAAAGTTCATTCTCTTTCTGATAATTTACTTTCTTTCACAGGGAATATTATAAAGTATATTATCAATTAGGTTATATTATTATAAAGTCCTATTAAAGTATGCTCTGTACTACGTTTAATTGCTAGTCTGTTGAACTAATTGGCTAGCATGTTTTTAACAATACATTTTGAAGACTTCTAGAATTATAGAGCTGCAGATTAACATGTCTTACCGTCTATATATTTCTACGCTGAAGACCTAACCAGTCTCTATTTGTTCCAGGCTTTTATCTTAAGGAACATGGCGCTGCTGCTTACTACTCACTGCTCCTTTTACTATCTCGAGTTGTCACAATTGACCACTTTTGCTCGCCTCCACTCTCCCTAGTCAAAGATTTAATGCTACACCATGGTCATGTACAATGATTACTTGATAATTAGATAATCCTTCCTTAATCATGATTAGCATTTCAGAAAAGCATCAACATAAGAACTTTAAACATATCTCCTTTTATAAAGTGAAGAAACTGTTCTTGTGAAGTATTAGGTATCTGGATAAAATTACTTATTTTGAAACAGGTGCCTGCTAGTTGTTATTCTATTTATTTTTCTTTTCTTGTTAAGAGAACCCTAGGGTGATGTGTTCATAGTGATTAGTGTGTGTTGCAAAATTAGTCACCTGTCTAGTCTCCCTTAGATCTAGGTAGACTAGATTCTAGCCAATAAGATTTATCTGGTAGGAACTTCTGGAATAATTTTTGCTCTTTTAATACAGATACCTTTCTTTCTTACTCTTTTGGTCTAAATGTGAACCTGAGCCTAGAGACCAAATAGTGATCTTGCAATCATGGAATGATGATATTAGGAATGAAGTATATATTTCTAGACTTATTGTTTAGGGGATAAAATACATCCCTATGTGGTGAAGACACTGAAGCCAGATTTCTGCAATCTTGTGGTTGAATACAATTCTGATCTAATTTAGCTACTAGCCATGATTATTAATCAATACTCTATAAATGTTACTTACCATTTGCCATTCCAAGTAGAATATCTTTAGTTCAATGAAACTCACCCTCTCCCCACCAATATGCAAATCAGCTTTCTTTAACAATACTACAAGTCATGGTAGCCAGACTTAAAACTAATTTTGCACAAAATATCAAGTATCAAAACAAACTTAAATTGCCTACATGATGTATCCTCAAACATAGCTTGAAGCAAGAGTATCCTAATTTAGGTCTAACTCACAACACAACTAGATGAAATCTACTTAAAAATAACATTTAAAAGTAATTTCCATCTTCCAATATAGGAAAGGCAACACTATACTAGGAAATCTAGTATATAATTAGCAAGGCAGAGGTATATTCTGTGAAAACAGCAAAAATAAGTAAATTAAACCTCAGTGAGATGAGGCAACTGTTGTCTTATGAAAGATATTTAACCCACAATGAAGACAATGGGTTTCAAAAACCTCAGTTATCACAAACTAAATCTAAATACATGAACACATCTATACCTTTGGAATATGACCATTTTGAGTTAAGAGTCCCATTTCATTTTCCACACGATGCAACCAATTAGTATTCTCATCAAATTGCTTCAATTCCTCTTCCCTTTTCTTCTCTAGATAGCATCGGCGAGTTTTTAACATGGCAAGTCTATTATCACGTTTGCAAGTGGCCTGAAAAACAGTGCAATTAATAGTCAAACTAGTATTTTTGATATTTGATGTATGAGATATTAATGAATTAGTATATTTTCTTGTAGGTGCAGTATTGTAGTATTCTTAGTCTATACTTTTGTACTTAACGCTATTTTCCCTTTAAAAATCTCACAATACCACTAGCATGAAAATAGGAAATTGAGTAATAAGTCATTTTAATAAAATTACATGATGAGAGTTTATGGCTTTAAAAAATACAATGGTCATATTTAAGACTCATAACTACTCTTTTGTGCTAAAATATACTACTTTCAATGTTGCATTTAAAAAGTTTGTAGAAGGCCTGATAAGTTCCATGATTTCTGTATTCTGGTTCAAAAAAGATGCATGTTTTGCTCTGCTTTCCTCCAGTGTGAGAGATGTGAAGAAAAAGTGTTGTATTGCTCTGGTTTTGCCTACAAGGCTTTATAGTGGTTGGTGAAAAATGACAGAAACACTTATATCAGACTACTTAACATGCTCTGATGGTTGGTTCAGGACTCCCAATGGAGACTGTGCACTCTTTTTGGTGTTTTATCAGGCTTGAATTGAGAGCAAAAGTGGCTTTCTGGTGTCTTATCTCAAGGGTTGTGCATACTGTCATAGGAACTGTGGATCAGAACAGAACTGTAGGCTATTTGTCAGTAGACACTGAACTCAATAATCATCAGCAATGATGACTGCAACAGAGAAAATAGATCCCCATCGACTTGGGAAACAACTACATGAATGAAAAAGGGAACAGGAACTACATCTGATCTTGGTCAAAAATATTGCCTCTTTAGGAGATAAATTCTTCTTATCTTTTATTAAAGATGTCTTAACAATTTGCTGATAAAACCAAAAAATAAAATAAAGACCATGATATTGTCATTTGGATAGAGGATATGAACTTATGAGGCACATAATATTAGGAAAACTTAGCTATCATGAATCCATAGACATATTTAAGACATTCATAAAATTTTACTTGACCTTCCCTTCAAAGGAAGTACAAAGGTAGGCAGAAGTATACTTCACAGTCAAATACATCAGACAAATAAGATTGGTAGGAAGGTACTATTGTTCTTACAAAGGTTCTTAAGTCTTTATTATAACTTCTCTGTTTAATTTTAATAGTGCAAGCATTCTTTATCAAGAAAGACATTAATAAAAACAAAACAAACCTCACAAACCAAAAGAGTGGGGGGACTAAAGAAGATAAAAATTAACCCTCAAACAAAACTCCCTAGTACAGCAGGGAGAGAACTGTGATAAAATGCTACAATGACAGACTTCTAGGTGATGCAGAAATTCCTAGAGCTCCCTAAAACACTTTCAGGGCTCATAAAGTCAAGCTACTTTTAAGTCAAAACTACTTATTACATTTTTTAGTCCCTTTTACCCTAATTTTTTCAAATACTGCATATCAAAGTGTTGCACAGCTAAGTGTTTAACAGAACAATGGAGAAGCACCTATGAGAATACATTTGTTGGGAAAATTCAGGCATTAAGGAGATTTGCTAAATTGGTAAACAGTTACTCTCTACCTATTTTTGCTTAAGAAACAATTTTTCATTAAAAGATTGTCACCCAAATGCCCAAAAGTAGATTACTGGATTAAAAAGATGTAGTACATATACACAATGGAATATTACTCAGCAATCAAAAATAAAAGATAAACTTATGCCTTTTCAGCAACATGGACGGAGCTGGAAGGGATCATGCTTAGTGAAATAAGCCAGAAAGAAAAAGAAAAATAGTAGATGGTTTCACTAATAGCAGGAGTGTTAAGGGACCAAGGTTAAAAAAAAAAAAAAAGCAATTCTAATAAAGACAAATGAAAAACAATGAACAGTTAGACATTTTATGGGGGTGCAGAGGGGAATGGGATCAAAAATGGGGTGGGAAAGGTACACAGGACTATGGTGATGGCACATGGGTAAATTGGCAGTGGGAAGTCCACGGGGATTACAACCCAAAATGGAAAAAGGCAAAAAATGAAAAATGATGTAAAAATAAATTAAAAATAATTAAAAAAATTATGTCAACTAATAGATCAATCTGTTATTTGAAAATTTCAAACGTGGCAATATGGATAAATGGACTCCACATAAAGAAAAGCTCTATCCCCATCTTTTCAAAGCAGAATGGTAAACTGAAACCAGAAGTTTAGAGCTACTGCTGTAATAGAAAGTGAATATATACTTCTTGACTTTCTTCTGCTATTCAGTAGGTCTGAAAGTTTAGGCAAGTTAATTTCAGTGGGTCTTTATTCATCTCATCTGAAAAATGAACAGCAAAGTATTATATATGCCTGAATAGAAGCAGTTAAATCAAGTTATCTGTATTTTGCTTTAATACTTACAAATGTTGTAGGCACTATTAAAAATCAGTGCAGGAAATGATACATGTTTCTGATGGCAGTAATATTTAATACCAAAAAAGATCATAAATGAAAACTCTCAAAATGATGTTTTTTGGGTTTGTACTTTTAATGTTCATCAAATGAATCCATTCTGATAGTTCTGTTAAAGGAACATTTTACTTCATTTACCTGTGGAACCACTGCTCTACGAAATGACAAAAAGTATTTTGGAATAAATTCTAAAATATACATGTTAAGACCTAATAGGAAAGTAAAATGTCTCACATTAAGGTTTCAATATGGCTTTATACATTTCATTAACAAAATACTCAGAATACCACAAAAGGCATTGACTAAAAACAAATAATTCTAAAATTTAGTTGTTACTATATAACTGAACACACACACACACACAAATTGCAAGCATGGTAACTTCATTATTTAATTAAATGTAATTTGTAGATAATCTTTATATGCTATGAAATTATCCAAGAGATCCACTTTAATACAAGTTTCAAATTCCATATACTCTAGAGTCATTTATAGTTAAAAATGTTATGAGATTTGTTTAGTGCTTGTGATAATAAACCTCTATTGGAGAGAGTCCAAGACAAAAATAAAATACCTTGCCTTAGCAAGCAGTTTTAGTAAGACCATAGCTTGGTATGTCTATATGTAAAAAAACAAGCAAAAACTCAAGTGTCTCAATGTCTTCCTCTGTTTTTCAAGTTAACTACAACCAATAAAATTTAAGAGGGTTTATCTCCATTGTTTTCCTAGTCTCATTAAAGTAGCTGTAAGAATTGGAACACATGTAGTAAAATGACCAAAAATAAGAAATCATAAAAGGCAAGTGGGTTGAAAGAACGCTACTAAGGATAAGAATAAAGGTAGGAGTAAAAAAAAAAAAAAAAAATTAAAGAAACTACATTCTACTACTCTTTGTTAATCTCATTACTCACAATAAAAATTCCATGGGGTTGGGCCCTCCCTGGTGGCGCAGCGGGTTAAAGCACAGCACTGAGAATCTAAAGCCGCTTCCGCACAAGTTCGATCCCCGCCTGCCCCGGAGGTGACCACATGGCGTGGCAGACCTCTCCTGACCCGCCCACTGCTCCCCTCAGCAGTGTACTTCGTAGATCTGCCTGTTCTGTTCCTAGCTCTGTCTCTGGTGAAGCCTCTCACCTCCCCTAAGGCTCTGGCCTGTACCCCAGTTCTGTATACACAAATAAATAAATCTTTAAAAAAAAAAAAAAATTCCATGGGGTAAAATAAAGCACTAATTTAGAGGGTGGTTAAATAGATCAAATGTATTAAGTGTATTAAATAATAACACTCAAATGTTAAAAAAAAATGGCATTTTGATTCTATCCTCTGATAATGTATTACTCCTTTCCTTCAAAGATTGTCTTTCACTATAAAAATCAATTTTAAAACTCCTGGCATCCAAAGTTTACACAATCTGGCCCACTGTCCTATCATCCAATCTGTTGTAAATAATTCCCAATAAGGAAAATGTATTCATTCATGTGCCAGCTCCCATCCATTCATAATGATTAGGTCTAATCATTTTCAAATTCTGAGAGAGAGAATATGGCAATCAATCAATAAACCAATATCTGCTCTGTGGAAAGGAGCAGGAATTGGTAGGAAGTATTAAATATAGTCATGTACTTCCATACACACTGATATCCCACTATTCCTATTTTCTTCCAATGTTATTATTCTCAAACAAAGCCCTGTATATATCAATAAATATAGTCTCTTTCCCAGGAAATCTTCTTAATCACCAAAATTACAAGTCAGTTTTCTCCTTTGAGTGGCTCCATATTTAAGAGTATTATAATACAGCAGAGTGATTAAGGAAGGAAACTTTGAAGCAAGACAGGCAGAGCTAACGACTGGTCCTGGCACATTACTAGACATATATTTCCAAACAACTTACTTGAGTTCTCAGTGCTTTTCTTATTCACATTTGGGTGATAATATAGGGGCATGTTGTTATAGTTTGTTGGAAGTAATAGAAGAATTACCTCTTAAAAAAGAACTTGAGAACTGGTATAGTCAATACTGAATAATATTAGCCATTTTGATAAATTTATTGTGCCACTACTTACACAATGATAAGTATCTTGTCATTTATATATATTTTATTGCTCCAATCAACACTTTACCTCCATAGTGTGTCTAGAGCAATACTTTGTATATACATAAGTTAAGCTGCTGCTAAAATTCAAAATACAAGTGAAATGCATGTCCTCAATTCATCCAACTACTATAAAAGGCTTTTAGGGACATTTTAAATGTATCATGAAAAAACATAAAAAGGAATTTTCAGTATACTAAGTATATGCATTATATTGTACAGTAGACTTTTATCTGGCATAATCAAGTCTGTACCAGATCTGCCTTTCCACAGTTTTTGATAACCACCAATCTACTCTCAATTTACATAAATGATATGTAAACTTTCTCCTGTGTCTGGCTTATTTCACTGAGCATAGTTATCTTCTAGATTCATTAATATAGTTGCAAAGAGTTAGATCTTCTTCTTTTAAAAGGTAACTATTATTATTTTGGCATATATTTAAAAATTGCTAATAGGTTACTTTCTGTTAATAGGGTGTTAAAGTCAGTATTACTGTTTTTATCAAAATCATAAAAAATGAAGAGAATAGTTATCCAATATTTTCAAATTATTTTCCCTGACTTTAGTGATTTGTATCTTCACATTTCCTCAGAATTTCCAGATGTAAGAAGAAATGGATGATTAAGTAATCTTCCTTATCAATTTTCTAGAACTAGATGTTTCTATAGTTTGACATTTTCTAAAGTTTAATTATAATTTTGTTAAGTACCTTTTCTACTTTGTCTTCAGAACACATCATTTTTATTTGTTTATAACACTGTTGTTGGTAGAATGATTTAAGTTCATTTTCTTTAAGTAACATTTCCAGCTTCAGATATTCTTGCCTGATTTCTTCTCGATTCTGGAACAAGCATTTCAGAATTTCTTGAAATCTACCAAATATAAAACACATTATATAATTTCAGTAATTTTGTGTAAATGATAGCAGTTTACTTAAATGTATGAATATATGCAAAAGGATAAAATGCAAATAGGTTAGAGTGGTTGATTCCTATTGAATTACAAATAAGTTTGGAAAGGGTATTAACTTTATTTTCACACGAGGTTTCTTTCTGTTTCTCCATCAAGGAATACATTGTAGATCATGTTAATAAAAATCTTGGGTTGTCAGAAAAGTCATGATGCATTTTTGCAACAAAACCAGAAAAAATATATTATGGATTTTCAGCCCATCTTTATATATAGATGGCTATTCATGAGCCTTATACTGTATTTTGTCGATATAATACAGCTGCTTAGCAACACATATTTTGTTTGCAAGAAAAGGATAATCAAAAATCTGGATATGTAATCTTCCAATTCACAAGACCCATGAGTGACACTGTATTACCCATTGTTTGGCATTAACTGCTGTAAAGAAATAAGTAGCAGTAGGTACAATCATATGGTCTCCATGGCCCATTAGGGAAGTGAGATAAGGTTCAGAGATTTTAGCTTCAGAATTCATTATATGAAACATACAGCATGAGATTAACTATGCCCCAAAGTATGGACCCCAAACATGCAAATTTATAACATGGTAAACCTAGAAAATCTACCCAGTCTATTTAATCCAAAAGGCAATATAGATTTAGAAAATCAAGTTGGGGCATTCTGACTCAGATCTTTACCGAATATTTAAAAAATACAAGCTAAACCTGCAATCCTGTATCTTACAGGGTCAGCAGAACTCTGACCACAGCCATATTTGAATTTTACAAATATATATTTACTTTTAAATCTTAGATCAAGTCTGAGCTTGATCTAACAGTAAAAAAAGGAAAAGTCTGTCACACAAAGAAAAAACTCTCAAAGAAAAATTAACTGTGAATCCTTTAAAAGAAAAATGTAACAAAGTATATAAGCATTTAAAAATAAATGTTCTTTGGCCAGAATTTTAGATATATTTGTAAGTATCTGTGGTAAAAAATTCACTGCCAATTTACGTCAGTAGTTCTTAATGAAACTCTATTGGGAATGAATATAAGCCACAATACATTGACTTTACTGCAGTTCTGTCAAGCTGATAAATATTTCATAGAAAATATGTACGGACAGTGCAATTTCATTGTATTATATTACAATAACGCTGATGCCAGTAAATAAATTGATGAGTTATCTTTAGGATATACTCTTAGTTTTCTGTAACATTTTAACCAAGAACATAGTTAATATTTGTTAATTTTGTAATTCTGTGGTTGAGACTTATTTTAGTGATTAAAACAGTTCTACATAACAATATGATTACATGATAAAAGGTATCCCAAGGTTTACTTACAGAATAGTTACTTTTAAAGAAAAATGACAAAGGCTATGGGGTACATAATTTTATCACTACCTCATTATAAAAACAAGTACATTTGTAAAGTCAGGTAGAAATTTGAAACTAGAAAATTATTGACATCAATAGTGATTTTATATCTAGATCACTTCCCTGCTGAATTAATTTACTAAAAGCTGAATGATTTAAAGCCAGCTATTCAAGAAAAGTCTACTAACTCATAGGTTTTAATAACTAGATCTGGTTAGGTATTGCTAATAAGCAATTTCATGTAAGCAGGGACTCCAAATCTGAGCAGATAGTGACTTAAGTTTCAAAAAACTTGTAAGAATAGAGTATCTGGTTTCTCGGGAACCAGTTCTATATGTTCTGGTTTCTTGGGAACCAGTTCTATATGTAACTATTAAAGTGAAATAATAACTAACATCACCTTAGAGTTAAATTTTATTTTGATAGTGCTGAAGAAATAATGAATATAACCTTATTATATATAACAAATAACATCCTAAGGCTAATAACAATTTTACCATGGCAAGAGGTTATTAGGGGGATTAACATATATTTTTTTAAAAAAATTAAACATATTAGGAAATTATGTAAAACTTGCACTCTAACAATATTTAGGTCAGTTTAATGCTGTATGAAAACCTGATTTCATTGTTATTGATTGACAGAAGTTTATTTATTCTTTTGATATTTGTAATTTTGATATAGTATATCATAGGAGTAAAAGGATTAAGATGAAAGATGATGTATAATTCTTACTTTTATCTGTAAGAGAACTTGCTTTAAATTTCAGAAGGCTGCTGTAGTAGGCAGATGAAACTAACATGGGCCTAAAATAATTAAAAACTGCAAAGTCATCAGCATAACTAAAGTGATATTATTACTAGAGCAGTTACCCTAATGTCTAGGGGGTCATTGAGGCACTAAAACATTATTCATCTTAAATCAAAGATACTTTACATTAACTTCAATATACGAATCCAATTTTAAAAACAGTATTGTACCTGAAATTAGGTTGAAAGGCATCACTATAATCTTTCTTTTTTTTTTCTCCTAAAGATTTAGTTACTTATGCACACAGAACTGGGGTACTGGGGTACAGGCCAGAGGTGCCAGAGGTGAGAAGATTCACCAGAGACAGAGTTGGGAGCCGAACCGGCAGATATACTGAAATACACTGCTGAGGGGAGCAGAGGGTATATCAGGAGAGGTCTGCCACACTTTGTGGGTCACCTCCCCTGGCCAAGGATTGAACTCGTGCTACAGTGGCTGCTATCGTGCTATGCTTTAAGCCGCTGCGCCACCAGAGAGGGACCTGATCAATCTTTTTTATGTACACTAAGATACCTTCTACAAACTAAGAGTGCCAAAACAGAGCCAATCTGTGGTTGTATTGTAGTTAGTTTCTCACAACAGAAACTGGGCTCTGGAGGATGTCAAGTTTAACTTTACTCAACTTGAATCAAACTTCCTTTACTACAGGTTCTCTGAGAGTTTTTAATATGCTGATATACTTCAAAAAATCTCTTAGATTCTTAAGGATGAATACTTTCCCAACCTATTTAAGAATTCTTTAGTGTCTTCTTAGAACTTGTCAAATTAGAGAGAGGGTCCTCACTGGACATTCTGGAAACCTAATCTTAGTCCAGCCTTAGACTGTGAGAAATGATACTGTTGTTTATAAACTGTCCAGCTTGTGGCTATTTAATTTTTGTATCTGAATCATCTGAGATGCCAGAGAAGAAAAATAAAAAAACTGCTAAAAATTAATTTCTTAATTGACACAATTTACTTTTTCCATCTTACATCTAAGTCCTATTTCTCCTCAGTATCTGTATGGTCACAACTAAAATGAAGTATGCAATATAAAAAGCAACCAATGACTTCCAGAATTCATTTGAGTATACCAAATGATAACTTCAGGCTAAATTTTAAAGCCATAAATTCTTCAAAATGAGATCTTATTGTCACTTTTACCTTTCAATTTCTTTTTCTTGAGGATTTGAAATCAATGGCTTTGCTTTGTTATTTTCATCAGTAAAGTCTTTCTGTTCATATATTTTCAGTTTTTCTTTCAACATTAAAATCTAATAGAAAAAAACATTAGTTAAAATACAAAGTTATATCTTCATTATACATGGCCACAAAAAATTTTATCTGTGCAACATAATCTGAACAAGCTAGATTTCAACTGTAAGAAACATGCCAAGTTTTGAGACAATGAAGATTGCAAAAATCCCATAAATGAGGAACTGAGGGAGGTTAATGAAAAAATGTCAAGAATAGACCTACCTCTTCTTTCTGCTCTTTACAGATCTTTACATACTGAGTTATATGATTGTTGAGATTAAGAACATTGCTCTTCAACTGTTGAAAGACAAAAAATATTTGTGTGTAGAGATATTAATAATTGCAGTTACAGATGAGCTAAATAGCATTAAACTTCATTAAGTCAGTTACTCAGAATTTGTGACAATTATAATCGTGACAATCATGAGAATTTATGTTATACTTAAAATCTATGAAAGAAAATATTTTGAGTACATTAATACAAATAGTTATAAAGAAATTGCTTTACTGAGTAGAGGTATTTGTAAGAACATGGAATGCATTCATTCATAGTATAAAGCAAACTGCCCACTTTCTTTTTATTTTGATTTCAAGGAAATTCACAGATAATTTTATTCTGTACTCACTGATAACTTGAACTAATTTTTAATTGAGTTCTTATTACAGTTTACACTTTTAGTATTATGGGACCTTTGGCAGCTATTGAACAGACGGTAGGATATTTCAGTTTAAAGGCCTGCTTCTCATTTAAATGACTTATAAGTAAGTATTTAAAACTACCTTGAGCCTAAATCTTTATACAATGCAAGTAGCAGAGTGGTGAGCAGGAAAAGAAGTCATGATACTGGTTGAATTTTAGATATCTTCCTACTCTGAGATACAATTTTTAACCGTGCATCTTGTTTGATTTACATTTTTCAAATTACCCATATTATTGGCAAAAATATTGAATTAAATAGTCATTATTATACTGATGGAGCTACACATAGATTGGTTATATATATATATCAGGAATGAGGAAATTAATTCTTGATAAAAGGCTATTTTACTTTGTTAAACAGAGGCAAATGTCGAAGGTAAAGAAAATAAAATGAGGATAGATTAGCAAATACGTATCGATGATCAACTGCAATGAGGATAGATTAGTTAACATGTCCATGGTTTTTAGGTAGAAAGTGCTTATGATGGGTTGAAACAGAAAATCCCCTTGCTACAACAAATTTATTAAAGCCTTCAATAACTAGTTCAGGGTGCCATCAAATGTCATGTACCAGGATGTAAAAAAGATAAAAAAGGCATTAAAACATTCTAGTACCTGAAGGACTAAATGATGTTAATTATATACCTAATCAAGATATTTAATTATCTAATGTGATTGTTAATAGGTAGTAAAGACATTTGTTTTTCTAACTCATTAGTAGAAATATAGCTTTAATTATTTCATTAGAATTATAAAAATAGTATGTATGCATGCATTGTCCTCACAAGGAAGGCAGAGTAGAGACATACTTACAGAAGATTTAATGTCCTTTGCACGGTTAGCATACTTAAGAGTATTATATGTGTCATCATAGAATACAGAGGAAGGACTAACAGCAGCTATCATTATAGTTTGACAGTTTCCTCCAAGAGAATCCTTTAACAAGCGAGTGAGCTTACTATTTCTGTAAGGAATATGCTGATTCTTCCTCTGAAAGAACAGAAAAAGAATTATGTCATTTTCTACATTCAACTTCACTAAGACATGATGTAATTAATATCTGAAATCATGACAATGAATCTTATTGAACAAATGAATGTACAAAACAAATAGCCTTTTAAAAGATTAAAAGGCCCTCTATTTAAAGATCCTATATATTCATCTGAGTGTTAACTTTAGTTAATGACAAAATATCAATATTATTTCATTAACTGAGATAAATATATGCCAAATTAATGTCATTTTAAACAGGATAATTTTTATATTAACTTATATTTAAGAAATTGTTTATATTATCTTAACAGACACTTTGTATTTTGTACTTAGAACTCGTCAAATATATTTCCATTTTTTAAAAAGTAAAATATAAGGCCCTCCCTGGTGGCGCAGTGGGTTAAAGTGCAGCACTAAGAATGGAAAGCCAGTTCCACATGAGTTCGATCCCCAGAGGAGATGGTGCGGCAGACCTCTCCTGACCCGCCCACTGCTCCCCTCAGCAGTGTACTTCCATGATCTGCCTCTTCAGCTCCCCACTCTGTCTCTGGTGAATCCTCTCACCACCCCTGTACTTCTGGCCTGTACCCCAGTTCTGTATGCACAAAATAAAATAAATCTTAATATAAAAGAAACTACATATAGATCCAACACAGTATAATGCAAGATTAATTAATTAGTGCCCTACATAGATTTACTTCTCTCCTTAAATAACCATCTAACATGGATACAAAATAAATTATATTTTTACAGATCTTTCATCTGAAAATATAACAGAGTTCAAAGATAACTTAATTTTTAGGGTTTCTTCTATTGAATTGAAAACAGAACATTATAATGTCAAGGTAAAAGCAACTTTGTTACCTAATATAAATTTTTCATAATACAAAAGAGGAGAAGCTATACAAACAGTGAAATGACTTGTAATGCAGTCCTTGCCACAGAACCTGGCACTGCACTGCAGTGACTATGATTTTCATCAAGCAGTCTGGCCAGCTGTGCACACAGTGCTGTGCTACTTGAAACAGTGCTATATGTACCTGGCATGCACTACATACTGATTCATATATAGCTCCAAAGGAGTCGAGTAGTAAAAAATTAAGTTGATGTGAAAAAATGGCCTAATTTTAGAAAATTTCGTCCCCATCATTTTTAAAGTTTTAACTTAGGTTAGAAGACACCACGCTTTTGCAACCTCCACATGATTTCTGTAATTTGCTTTTTAAAAAAGACTCCACCAATCATTTTAACACACATAACAAAATCTATCAAATTATAAACCTTTGAATAGCTAATATTTTCCATAAGGTTTTAAGCATGAATTGAACTAATGTTAAAAACAGAAAGTTATCAGGCCCTCCCTGGTGGTACAGCGGGTTAAAGCACAGCACTAAGAAGCTACAGCCACTTTCGCATGAGTTCAATCCCCTGCCTGTTCCTGAGGTGATCCACATGACAAAGCAGACTTCTCCTGACCGGCGGCCCACTGCTCCTCTCAGCAGCGTGCTTCGTAGATCTGCCTGTTCTGCTCCCCACTCTGTCTCTGTCTCTGGTGAATCCTTTCACTGCCCCTGCACCTCTGGCCTAAACCCTAGTTTTGTATGCACAAATAATAAATCTTTAAAAAACTAAGCAAAAAACCAGAAAGTTATCTTTATAAATATAAAGGTTATGAAACAATTTGTAGACTATAAATATTTCTAGAAGATGTAAAATATTTTTAAATGTCCCCAAAGCACCCAGGAAACATTATCCTATTAGTTGATTCAACTACATTTTGTACCATAAGACCCTCTACTTCCTCTCTAAGAAAAACTAAGAGTTCTTTAATATTTAACCCATTTTATACTAGATAAAATAACCAGAATAGATCTTAATTTTTCTCAAATATTTTAGTCTTCAAGCCAATTTAATTATTATGCTTTCTATGTCACAATCATTAAATGGTGATAAAAAAATCAAACTCAAAATAAGTGATGACAAAGGACCATAAAATATTAAGCACTGATCTGAAATTCATTACATTCATTCACTAAATTCTAGATATACAAGTAGAAATTAAAAAAAAGAGAGAGAGAAAAGTGAACACAACTACAGGTGTTATACGAGGCTTTGTAAGATTGGTGCTCTGTATATAATCATTACTGACAGACCCTCAAATATGATAATAGAACTTTAAAATGAAATTATATTAAATAGTATTTTTCTAGGAGTTATGCTTATTTCAGTGTTTCAAAATATTTAAACAAGTGAACATAGAGCACTTACCTTCGTATCTGCTAGAGCATTGATGACGTTCCCAAGAGCTAACAGTGACCGATTAATGTTTGTGCCTTCTATAAACCGGGTCCCTTTAGCACTGGTAGCACTGGCTCTCTCAGACCCTGCCAAGTCTATGAGGGACATCTTGGCAATACGGACATTCTGATTTATACTTGCTGTTTTGTCTTGCTGCCGCAAGTAAATCTTTTTGAAGTTAAGAGAATAGGGAAAACAAGGATAAATTTTAACACAATTAAAAGGGAAATGTACTTTAATTTTAAAGGTGTGAAATCAAAGTTTTTTTCATTTTAAGAACAAATTGAACAAAATATAATATGACTTATATCCAAGAGTAGTAAAAGTAATATTCCAAACCCAAATTTTTTAAGTGGAAAAAAATTTAAATTTACCTGAGGGCAGAGGAAAAAAAAAAAGATGAATAACTAAATAATATACCAGAGATACTTTATGGGGGTGGAGGGGGTGGAATGGGATTAAAAATGGGGGGTGGGTAGGTAGGGGGAATGCATGGGACTATGGTGATAGCACACGGGTGAACTGGTGATGCGAAGACCAAGGGATTACAACTGAGATGGAAAAAGGCACAACATGATGTAAAAATAAACTGCAACACACACACACACACACACAAAATCTACCTGAGGGCAAATAAATTTTGAATTAATAGAAAGTCAAAAAATTTGTATTCTGGCAACCTTTGAACTAGAACACAGAATTTTCAGAGGTGGTCCTGAGACACAGGCCCTCTAAAAATAATGTTTCTAAGCAAACACTGAAGGAAGCGGACAGAATGCTTTGCATGTCTCCAGGGACTGTTTTCAAAGGATAGCTGAACCAAATTGAATAATGAATTTATTCTAACTAAAAAAATTGTTGCATGTCATAATAGAGAAAATATCTTATGTATAAATATAGTAAAGTTATAGTTGTCATGTTCAATTTCCCACCACAATAAATTGTTAGTCAATTGTTTTACATGACTTTGTAGTAGTTTACTGGAAATACGTTAGGTGGCTAATTTAAAAGAGATGGGAAAGATAGGCTATTATTTCATTATAAAATCTTGTCATTAATTTTTCTGTAAAACAGGGTCAAATCCATTTTGAGGAAATCTCATAGTTACAAACATTTTTCTCAATACTATTGATAAAATGAAGAGTTAGTGTTTGAAATACAAAGATTAAGAAACATGAACTAGAGGAACTAGAGAAATTTTGAATAATTTGATTGCTTCAATCATGACTTAATCATGAGTGTCATATTACATAATTCAGAATGAAGCTATATATAATCATTGTATATTAACAGGACTGGAAATTGCAAGAAATAGCTACTAATCTATTCTTTAGCTCTTTATCAAATCTATTCCTAAATATGACTATATTAACTGAATCATACTTTCTTGAGGAATGTAGGTACTTACATGGTCAGTATATTGAAATTAAAAAATAAATGGACCAATAGCCTTTCAACTTATTAGTTCTGTAAATTTAGATCTGTAAGTGTGCTCTGAATATAAGATTATTTATTGAATACACTAACCATTTTCCACAACTTAAAAAACTCTCCACCATTATCACACTCCTATCTTATACCCTCACATAAGTAAAAATGTACATTTCTGATCTAGATCATTTCAAATCCAAATATGCCTGATAGAATCTTCTCAAAGTCATAAGCACAGAAGTCAACAGATGAAGATATATTTCTCTTTCTGTGAAAACTTCTATCCATGAATTTGGCTTATTTTAAATTTAATATTAACAGTGATAACCCAGTAATCTATTACCTGGAAAACAGCATGAGAACGAGAAGATGTAGCATTTATGTCAGTGGGATGTTGTGTCCTGTTTTTGTTTCCATTATCTAATAACTGTAAAATTTCTTCTGAGGATTTGGGCTAGAGAAGTATAAGTAGAAGAAAAACATGTAAGTTAGACATCTATTTTTAAAAGTTTCAACAAACTTAATGGGAAAGATGCCACTTAAAGGTAAAAGGTAAGAAAATGCTTTCTATAAATTAAATCTCATTAAATATTGACTATGTATTATTTGCTTGATACGCTGGCATTAAATCAGAAACAGACGACACAATCTTTTCTAGGGAGATAACAAACGCATTAAGTGGATAACGTACAATAACAAAAGTTCACAAAGAATTTTAAATGTTCATTCATTATTTAAAAGAAAACAGACTGAAGATCCACCCCCTGATTATTTAACTATACTGGCTTTCTTCTTTTTTAAAGACAGCGGGAAATAAGTAAACAGTTGTAGGAAACAGTTATCTAACCACCCTTGCTATTTGAAGGGAAAAGATTTTATAAAAATACCTGGTGTAAAGTCAAGCCTTGAACAATCACTCCCTTTTGGGCATCTTCCCGGACAGCAAGTGGTCCTGAATTTACTAAAAGGTCACGAATCTGTTCATTATATACCTTCACACAAAAAGAAAAGCTTACGTTGGTATCAAACCAATAGTTGTAATATCACTTAAATCATTGCTGATTTATGGTTAGATTGTAATTTTATCTTAGGAAAGAAATAAGATTCCCTTGAAAAGCTTGAGGATCTAGCTTTTGAAATTTACAGGTAGTGTCACTCTAAAACTCCTAATTTGATAACTACAGGTAAACAATGATAATAAAGTCTTTTTCTTTCCCTGAAAATAGAACATGATGAGCGGGTATGGGAAAAAAATTTTTTTTTTAAAGATTTGTTTATGCATACAGAACTGGGGTACAGGATAGAGGTGCAAAGGCAGGTAGAGGCTTCACCACAGACAGAATGGGGAGCAGAACAGGCAGATCAATGAAGTACACTGCTAGGGGAGCAGTGGGCGAGACAGGAGAGGTCTGTTGAGCCATGTGGATCACCATGTGGAGCACCTCCAGGGTCGGGGATCTAACTCACAATAAAGCAGCTGCAGCTAACTTGCAGTCCTGCATCCTAACCCATTGTGCCACCAGGAAAGGCCAGGTATGGGAAATTCTAATGATTTTTAATATGAGTTATATGGAGGTGGCATGGTTTTTACTAGAGAAAATATTTTATTATTTTTGATGCCCGAGTAGTTCTAAACATTTTAAACCGATATTCAATGGCAAGATGCATGTATTTTGTTTATACTTCCATACACTAAATTTAATATGCAATTCTTGATAAATTCTATAAAGGGGCCATCTCATCTCTTATTTGAATAATGAAGGACCGAGAAGTTATGTAACTGGCTGGGTCATAAAGGTACTAGATCAGGGAGGAGAGCCCAGATATCTTACTCTGTTGCATAGCACTGAATACTTAAGTATATTTTATGTCTTAGCCAATTTTGGTTTTAGTAATTTCTGTGAAATATTTTTAACAACACACATAATCTTAATCAACTTTGAAATGTGAAGAAAATCTAACCACCACACTATAAAAGATTTGTGGCTTACTGTAAGAAAGTGTATCTGACACCACAAATGAATAGGTAATAAATTTGGAAATTTATGTATCTATATTGGTTTCTGAAATATCCAAACTTAAAGTTACAGCATCTGACACTGAGTAATGACTTGAGTGCCAGTTACTATTGAGGAGGTAGGAGGAGTCAAATATGATAAAATATGTCAAAAGAACACAATGGACATGATGAAGGAGCTTTGACTGGCCAAATTTGGTGAAACAGTGACATACAAATTAAAAATTATGGAAAGGGACTTTAAATTACTGAATAATGTAAGACTCCTTGAGTTCATGCTGATACAATCAAGGACTAAGAAAACTTACAATAGAAAGCAAGTGAACCTATGTAGGAGAAATAATGGAACTTAAAAATCATTATCATCATCGGCCCTCCCTGGTGGCGCAGAGGGTTAAAGCACAGCACTAAGAAGCTAAAGCCACTTCAGCATGAGTTTGATTCCCGCCTGCCTCAGAGGTGACCACATGGCGTGGCAGACCTCTCCTGACCCGCCCGCTGTTCCCCTCAGCAGTGTACTTCGTTGATCTGCCTGTTCTGCTCCCCACCCTGTCTCTGGTGAAGCCTCTCACTGTCCCTCGATCTCTGGCCTGTACCCCAGCTCTGTATAAACAAATAAATAAATCTTTAAAAAAAAAATAAAAAAAATCATTATCATCTACCATAATAATTGATTCAGGCATTAATCATCAATGGATTTTAATAAATTAAGTTTGAGGAATAAACAGGATAATTACACTGTTTTCCCATAAAGAATTCTTTTGTAATTATAAAGGGTAAAACAGTATCTTTAGAGTCAAGAAACCTTGTAGTCACCAGCAATATAAAACTGATCACAGTAAGTAGTTGGAAATGGGACTAACTGAAAAAGTCTCTGTATATAATACATTAAGAATTCAACATTACTTCTACAATGTTCTTTGCAGAGTATTATATGAATTTAGATCATGAGAAACCCAGACTAAGGTTTCTCTGACAGCATTATAAAGTATGAAAAAAAATAAAGTTCCAGGGTGTCTCCAGTAGTGCAATGGGTTGAAGCAGCATTTGAGAAGCCAGCTGCAGCCACTTCATCTCTAGTTTGACCCCTGGCCAGAGAGCTGACCCACATGGTGCAGCAGACCTCTCCTGACCTGCCTGCTGCTCCCCTCAGCAATGTGCTTTGTTAATCTGCCTATTCTGTTCTTCACTCTGTCTCTGATGAATCCTTTCACTGCCCCTGTACCTCTAACCTGTACCCCAGTTCTGTATGCACAAATAAATAAATCTTAAAAAAAAAAAAACCACCAAAGTTTCAACTTAGAGGTTAAACTTAAATATTGAATGCAATTATGATCTTTAAGATTTGTTTTATCAATAAAGTCCATTAGAGTAAGCCCCAATACTCATTAAATTCTATAGATCATAGTGCTGTATCACTGTTAATTTACTGATTTTGACAATTACTTAGTGATGAAAAAATTTCCTGTTTTGTGAATTTGTAACAAATAGTTTAGAAAAAAGAAATACACAAAGAAAGCATGTGCATATTCATAGCTGGTAAGTGCAAGTGATGAGTAACTTAACATTCTTTGCACTCTTCTCATACTTCTTACAATTCTTTGACACTCTTGTGTCAGAAATGATGCCAAAATAAAATACTTAACAGAAAAAGAGTAGGGTACATAATATTTAAGTGAAGAGACTTGAATGATTGTATGTAGTCATGAAAAGATTCCTACATATGAGCCAACCATGAAATCTTAAAAGGTTTAGTAATACTACTGATTAATAAAAAAAATGGTATTGCCAACTTACCTCCAGGTAAGAAACTGCAGTACTACATACTTTTTCTTCTTTAATCTCATCCATGCATTTGTAAAGGTCCAGCATTGTTAGGTACATCACTCCAGGTTCAGCTGCTGATCCTAGCATTGTGTGGGTCTTCCCAGCTCCAGTGGCACCATATGCAAGTACTGAGTTTTTATGAAAAAGCATCAAAGCTCTTTATTACAACATATTATCATTACCATATTCACTGATTAGTGGATAGTTCCATCTGGATATTTTGAACAGCAACATTAACACCAACAGATCCCAAATTAAGTCCTCTGCTTAAAACCTGGGAATTTTAGCACAAATTTACTTGAACTCTTAAATTCTCCATTTTAATTAATGGTGCTGTCACCCACTAATTTTCTACCACCTGCTCCCTTTATTAAATTTTTTAACTAATCAAGTATTAAGACTTCCTACTCTTAGTCTCAATCTTCTTTGATCTATCCCTTAGAACTTGCACATTTACTTTTGTAAAAAAGAAATCTGATGATGTTAAACCTTAATTGTTCAGCAGGCATATTTGAGAGTTCAAGTTCTTTGCCTTGAAATATTATCCTGGTTAACTCTCTAGTCTATTTCTTTCTTGCAGTGATTAGGTATATTGGATTGTTTCTCCTTTCTATTCTACTACTTTTTTTCCTGGAGTGTCTTTCTTTAACCTAGCTGGAAAAAATGCATCTGTTGTAGATATATAGCACAAACATTAATTTCCCATGCCTTCCCTAGCCATCTTAGGTAGAAAAAGGTATTCCTTCATTTGACCCAATATGTGTCATAAAACCCTCCATTCTTTTTCTTATCACACTGTATTTTCAACTTTGAGCTTCACAATAAAGGCCATGTACACTTTGCATTTAGTAAAGCAGATATTTAATGCAAGTTTGCTGAAAGAACGAATTACTAATAGAAGCCATTTATAAAATTTCTTTAAAAAGTCTTGTTAGGAAAGTTACTTTGTCTTCAAGATTCTAGACAGTACAACATAGACATCAAATATTTCTTTAAATTTAGAAAAAAATCACTCTTTACAGTACAGTACAGTTAAGTTCTTATACTATTACTGCTGGAGATTTTATAAGCTAACCTAAATCTCTGCTAACTTAAATGTTAACAAGCCACAAAAGTAATTTTCAATAGAATGAATTCAACTTATGTATACTTCATTTTGTTCAATTTTATGTACCTCAAGTCTTAACGGAGTAAGGTAAGAATATAAAGTCAAGAAAACAAACTTAATGCCAATTTGGGAGAGATTTTTCATTTGGAGTAAAAAAAAATCTAAATCTCTAAAGACAATAAGACGTTTCATGAACAAGGAAAAGAATATCTGCTTAAATATGAGAATTACAGCAGTTTTAATTAATAAACCACCTTCCATTCTTGCTTGACCATGAGGGTAAGTCTTCTGTAATAAAACTGCATGAGCCAGTGTAGACAGTGAAACAGGTTAGTATTGAGCTATCCTGAAGAAAATGTACAAAATATATTAATTATAAAATGACATACTAATAATTATGTGCTTGAGTGCCATGTAAGCATTGGATTAACTGGACTTTTCATATTTTTCTTTCTAGGAAATCAGCATGGCCTTTCTGAAAGACAAATGATTATAGGACTCTCCAGGGCACTGGAGATGTTTTGGGGCTGAAAACATGCTAAAATAGCACATAAAACTCATTAATATGGAGTCTTAACATTTTTATTTCAAGATGCTGCTAAAAAAAGTGGTGCTACCAAGAAATTGCCAAGTAGTCAGATGGTCTACTATTCTTCAGGAATAGTCGTGTAATTCAGTAGTGGGAACAACTATGAATACAAGCTGTGAGAAACTTGATGTCAAATGCAAGAAAGATGTGGTTGGGTGAAACAGGAAACTGAAAAGATGAGTCTATAAGGACCACAGCAAGATTCTGGAAAAGTTTCACAAATAATATATTTTATACCTGACAACTAAATTTCAAAGAAAAGTCTACACTGTGAAAGTTTATTGAACTAAGACTTTTTAGCAAACAAGCATCTTAAAGTTGATCACACAGCCACGTAGATGTCTCTTCTGATGTAAAAACTGAAATCTAACAGGAAAATTCCAACTAAATCAATTACCTGTGCAATTATATCCATTCAAAAAACTACGAAGAATTGGCTTAGTAGTGTGTTCAAAAACTTCCAACTGAGTTGAAGTGTCATCAAAAACAGCATCAAACACAAACTTAAGATCCTTATTTTGTCTCTTTGTAATATCTCGGTTTATAGTTTTCTTTCCATGGAAAAAACTGATTTCTTCTTGTTTGGGATCAAAAACTAAGATATGCTTATCCACAACATGGACCACTTTACGGAATCCAGCTGCCTTTTCTTTTGTGTTTTCAGGACGGACACGGACAACTACTTTCATGTGGTGACACAAATCTTCCTCAGTGACAGCCATTGTAGATTATCTTGATTCCTCAGCTTATACAAATGCCTGAGTATTTCTTTGAAATTAAAAAGCAAAATTAAGTATTAAAAAGATGTTAAAATTCAGTTCACTCACCTGATAAATGTTAATGAAAATTTACACATATACATCTTTAGATTGTTTTTTTATATTATTCAGAGTACAAGTCAAAGTTCTTTTAGTGGCCTCCATTTTTCAGCTCATGTCTTACTGCTGCCCCAGTCCATCTAGCAAACCAAACATCTTTGTACAGTTTTCTATCAGTCATTCTTTCTATTGCAAAGTGCTTCCCTCCATATCTGTGTGATTCACTCCATCACTTCTTTCACATCTTTACTCAGATCAATTCTTTTAAATAATTGTAATTAAGTATTTAATGAGAATTAGCAATAAAATTTAGAAACAGGGGTCAACCCAAACAAATTTTGGGGGAATGGCAGGAACAAAAATTGGAGTGGAAGACTCAAAAAGTGGAGAAAATACAGTAAATACTACTACACAAGTGAGCAGAGAAATGGGTTAGGGAGAAGGGGAAGAGGATCCATAGAAAATTGTTTTTTAAAACAGGAGTAGAACAGCAATGATAGAGCTAAAATACAATACAAAACCACATATTTTTGGACAGAATTCAAATTAAGACCAAAGCAATCTAAAAGCAGAAGACATTGGACACAGCACTCACTTTTTAGGACTCTGTCCCTTCCTCAAATAGAACACTAAAGAGGAAAGATGGTCATTGGATTCTAATAGTCAGGTCCCAGGTGAATTACTACTCTGCTCTTTCTTCATCCTTAAGCTTCTGTCTAACGCAGTCCCACAGAACACCTATACCCCTCCTTACTTCTATGACCTTGGCTATATAACTTAGCCTCATAAATTTCAGGTTTCTCATTTGATATAAAAGAGAGAATAATACCTCATCCACTGTTATGAAATTTGAAATTTTGAAATTTTGAATTCAACAAATGTTGAATGTATTAAGGCATTTAATAAATATCAATTTATTTCCCTATCTGTTCTTACAAAGATGCTGGTCTACCTTCAGTGTTTCCCAAAAGACTTAGGATTGTCACTTTGGTTAGGACAAATTTTCCTTATTTTTAACTGTCCCATGTATTAGAGGATGTTCCAGATTCCTGAGCCCTGTCGAATTAAAGGCTAATAACACACACATACTTTATGATACTGAAAACTAACTTCCATATACATTTCTAAAAACTCTTTTAAGAAATAGTCAGTGGTACTTTAACTAATTTACTTTGTTTCCATTGATAAAATACACAAATAAACCTTAGATTCTCAAGACTGCATGGGAATAAGGCAACAATGACATAGCATCTCGCCAATTAAGTCAGTAAGTTAAGTATTAGATGTTATTGTTAGACAGCTTAGGTTAAAACCCACCTCTGGGCCCTCCCTGGTGGCGCAGCGGGTTAAAGCACTGCACTGAGAAGCTAAAGCCACTTCCTCATGAGTTCGATCCCCGCCTGCCCCGGAGGTGACCACATGGGGTAGCAGAACTC